CAACCTAGGCACGAAGTAGGCCATGCTTTTTGAATTGAGGTGGAAGTCAACGAATCCAGTCACCCGATGCCAAGAATTCATGGAGGCATTTTGCGTCACACTTGGACAACTACGCCAGCATCCTAGCAAGCGATCCGTCGTCTCTCGCCGCGTCCGTCCATTCTATCCTCACCTTTGTCTTCACGCTTGAAATGTCTCCATTCAGCGCTCCTCCCCGTCCCTCAGACACCATCACTGAAGCCCCTTATCCCGTCGGAACTGGGACTCTTCCCTGGTGACCTGTTCCTGCTCCACGGTCTCAGCCCTCTTGCTTGAAAACTAGTCAGTGCCTCACCTGCCGTGTTTCTCACCTCCAGAGGGTCTCTTGTTTGGAGTAGTTTCCCTGCCTTGCCAAATGGCACCCAACCTTCAAGACTCCGCTCCACCCCCATTTCTTCCATCAAGTCTTCCTGACCATCTTCATCTTTCTTCCTCCGATATCATGCATTCATTCCCAATATTCCTTTGAGCACCCACCATATGAATATAGGGATTCCTTTTTTTAATTTTTTTAATGTTTATTTTTATTTTTTTTAATGTTTTTTATTTATTTCTAGGAGAGAGAGAGAGAGAGACAGCGTGAGCAGGGGAGGGTCAGAGAGAGAGGGAGTCACAGACTGAAACAGGCTCCAGGCTCCGAGCTGGCAGTCAGCACAGNAGAGAGGGAGTCACAGACTGAAACAGGCTCCAGGCTCCGAGCTGGCAGTCAGCACAGAGCCCGATGCGGGGCTCGAACCCACGAACCGCGAGATCATGACCTAAGCGAAAGTCGGACGCTTAACCGACTAAGCCACCCAGGTCCCCCGTTACTTATTTTTATTTTTGAGAGACAGAGCATGAGCAGGGGAGGGGCAGAGAGAGAGGGAGACACAGAATCCGAAGCAGGCTCCAGGCTCCGAGCTGTCAGCACAGAGCCCGACGCAGAGCTCAGATCCACGGACTGTGATATCATGACCCAAGCCAAAGTCAGATGCTTAACTGACTGAGCCAGTTAAGCCCCAAGAGATTCTTTTTTTTTTTTTTTTTTTTTTAATTTACTTTGAGATAGAGAGAGAGAGAGTCCAGGGAGGGGCAGAGAAAGTGGGAGACAGAGAAACCCAAGAAGGCTCCACGTTGTCAGCGCAGAGCCCAACACAGAGCTCAAACTCATGAACAGAGAGATCATGACCTGAGCTGAAATCAAGAGTCGGACGTTCAACCGATTTAAGCCGCCCAGGAAGCCCCTGGATAGAGATTCTTATGGGATAGTCCTTGCCACTTGTGTGGTACATATCCTTTCTCTATTGACTTGTTAGAGTCTTTGCACGTGATGTACCTGTCTTCTTCTCCCTCCTCTACCCACAACTGCATCTTCCTGGTGTCCTCCATGGTGTATGACACCACAGTCTAGGTAGATAAGAGTCTGAAGGCACTAGTTTGCTCCACCAGAGTCCTCAGCATCTTCTAGGAGAGCCAGAAGTTCTCTTCTGTAGCTAATGCCTTGATCAGGATCCGCACCCTGCTGGCTTGTTGGCTCAGTGGCACATCCTTCCATCAAGAAATCCTTAGCTCTGGGAGCCAAAGGCTCACACTCCAACGGCTGGTCTTGGGGCCTCGCATGTCTCAGAAGCACCCTCTTTCTCTTTGCCCTCGAGTCAGAGCTCCCCTAACATCAAACATCAGTTTTAATTTCCTGATTCGCTTGGAATCCGTGCAGATGGAAATGCTCCCCTTCACTAGCAAAAGGCCTTTGATTTAAAACACAATTTCCACAAGTAAAATGGCCAATTCTGGGCAAGTGCCAAGAGCCTCACACCATGGCAGATTGGGCATCTCTGGCTTCCTTGTGGAGATCTCTCTGGAGCCAGGATCCCAGGCGCCATTTTGGGGAGATCTGTGGAAATGCTGTGAGGAACCGGAGCCAACCCAAGCCGAATGGCCACGTCTGGGAATTTTTAGATGACAGAATGTGTGATCATCTCTACCCACCATGAATGGGAGAAAATTTAAATCTGGAGAATATTAGAAAACTCCCCACGACGGGGCGCCTGGGTGGCTCAGTCGGTCAAGCATCTGACTCTTAATTTCAGTTGAGGTCATGATCTCACAGTTAGTGGGATGGAATCAGTCATAGGGCTCTGTGCTGACAGTGTGGAGACTACTTGGGATCCTCTCTCTTCCCCACTCTCTCCCCCTCCTCTTCAGATGTGCACATACTCTCTCTCTTTCAAAACACATAAATAAACTTAAGGAAAAAACTCCCACAGTGCACTGCCGTTTCTGACATGCTGAGATGGTGACCCTAGCTCCCCTGCAAGGGGAACAAAAATGAGAAACACACCGCTTCCCAGAAGCTTCCTGTCCCCGCCCCCTACCTGGCAGCCAAACCCTCCTCATTAAAGTGTCCCCACAGTTGCAAAGCTCCAGATCCCTCTGGCTCTGCCACTGGCGCTGTCCTACGCTCAGCACGTGATGCTGGGGCGGCGAGGCGAGTGGCACCATGTTTCATAACGTCAAGCACGGGGTTGGGAGCGAGGCCGCATTTGGGGAAAGGCCGGGGGAGTCGTTTGCATGCGCCTTTCTTCTTTCCACCGGGAAAGCAGGCGAAGCTCTCGTTACCGCGAGGCGAGCGCAGACTCGCGCCCATCTTCTGGGGGCACATGCGCTCCCCACCCCCCACCCCCCTGCGTGCTCTGCGCCTCTGTCTGAAGCCTTCTCCCGGCTTAGGCTCACCCTGGCTCCTAGACTGATGACACCCTGCCTAAAATAGAACCCACAGCGCTGCCTCCCGAATGAATCCAGCTTCCGGAGGCTTCCACGGAGGCGCATCTGGTGGGGAGGGGCTTCTCGGGCGCACCTGAGACGTGGGGACGTGGGGACGCCAGCGCGGACAGGTGGGCGCAGGTGCGGCCCCAGGAGCCTGCCTGTGGGCCCCCAGCTGCGTAACGCAGGAAGTACTTAGTGCATCAGGCCGTGCTTACGCGTTCCAGCGGACGGGCGCGGCCCTGACCTTGCGGCCCTGACCTTGTGCGCTGAGGCCGCCCGGACGCGTCGTGCTCGCACAGCGGCCCCCGGGGCTTTGGCTGTGGGGCACCTGCGAGCCCGGAGGGGCGTTTCGCATCCCTGTCGCTGAGTGGTGGCGGGCTTGCCGCCCTTCCCGGGTCCTCCTCGCATCTGGGATTCTGATGGCAGCTGAGTCTACACACCATTCATTCCGAAGACGTTTACTGGGAACCCAGGTTCAGAGCCCTCTTGGGGTACAGTGAGGGTGGGAACCAGAGTCGTTTATGAACTCGGACCACAGGCAGCTTACTGTCTGCGGGAAAATTGCGAACAGCACGCAGTGCCCTCTCTGCCAGCCGGTCCCCCCCACCCTCCGGTTTCCACCATGCGGTGGGTGCCAGGTGACATGATGGACAAGCAAGCACCTGGGTGTCGCCCAGACCTGGACTCCAGCTCTGTCATTTACGGACCCCTCCATCGGGGGACAGCTGAGCCCCCACGGTCTTATCCCCTTAAAGGGGGCGGGACTGAGCCCACTTCATAGCTGTTGTAAGAATGTGAAATGAATGAAACCGTATACACGAAAGCATTCCCTAGGACAGGATTATTAATATGCCTTGGTGGCCCCCAGGCAACGTCACCACAGTTCACATCTGGGAGGCGACCCAAGAGAGTCCATAACCTGGGGAAATATCGATCATATTTTCATTTTGCAAGGATGGAAGTGTCCCTAGCAACATATGACTGCGATCTACGTTTCCGGGTCTCACAGACGCCCCGCACATTTGCTGCCCTGTCCACTCCTCCCTTTGTCCTTAGCACAGTGACAGGGGCCAGCCGGGCACCTCCTCCTGGACGCCTCACACCATCCCTTCACTGAAGCCAGAAGCTACCAGATGCAACAAGAAACCTTCTCTGCCACAGAAGCCTTGACCCTCTCAGCCTGAGGACCCAGTGTCAAACACGTTGTTTAAAATGCCCGTTTTCAAGATTTCTGCCCTTGCTTGTCATGTCCACTCGATTTTAAGACTTTCTTTTTTCTTTTTTTTTCTTTTTTCTTTTTTTTTATTTTTATAAATGTATTTTTTTGTTAATATTTTTATTTATTTCTAGGAGAGAGAGAGAGACAGCGTGAGCAGGGGAGGGTCAGAGAGAGAGGGAGTCACAGACTGAAACAGGCTCCAGGCTCTGAGCTGGCAGTCAGCACAGAGCCCGACNAGTCACAGACTGAAACAGGCTCCAGGCTCTGAGCTGGCAGTCAGCACAGAGCCCGACGCGGGGCTCGAACCCACGAACCGCGAGATCATGACCTAAGCGAAAGTCGGACGCTTAACCGACTAAGCCATGCAGGCGCCCCTCGATTTTAAGACTTTCAAACATTTGTTTATGATCCCAGTTCTTTCAAGCCCTCAGAAAGCTGAGGCTCTAGGACAGAGCGAGTCTCCCTGACCCCAGACACTGGGCTCTCGTCCACCATGAGCACCAGGGCGCCGACGCCCCAGCTCGCCAGGGACCTCGAGCGAGGAGCAGGGTGTCGGCAGAGTAGAGGAGAGCGAGGCAGAGGAAAGGATGTGTGTTCGAGGCGCTCCCATAGGGAAGGGATATGGCTCCCCAACTAGACGAGGGCCCTGGTTGCCACAAGAAGTCCGTCTCCTATCTGGTTCTAGACAAAGTAGACATGTGTGCTGCCCCTGGCAGAAATCCCAGGTCTATGCCCTCCCTGAGGCTTGATTTTACTTTTACGTGAGATGCATCCCCTCTTTCTGGCCATGCACTTGACTCGTGTGCTTATCTCTCCTGCAGACGCTCATGGCCTGCACTGGCTTCCCTACCCACATCTCCAGATGTGTTCACAGTCTCTGTATCCGTTCTCAGAACCCTCCTGCATCCTGCAGACAGCAGGGTGTGGACCATTTTCTGTTGCATGTGCAGATGCAGGGCAGAGCCTAGCGCCTCACCTTTGGGCCTGTCTCTTGCAGATTATTGGGACCATACCTCTGATGCCGAATCCGGGGCCATCAAGCCAAGCAGCGAGTGGCACCCAGGGCCTGCAAGTGCAGCCCATCACCCCCCAGCTCCTGACCAACGCCCAGGGCCAGATCATTGCCACGGTCATCGGGAACCAGATCCTGCCAGTGATCAACACCCAGGGCATCACGCTCTCACCCATCAAGCCCGGCCAGCAGGTAACAGCTCCCTGTCCAGGCAGCCGTGGCTACCCGGACCCCCCTCTCCTTCCCACTCATCTTCTGTTTGGTCTCAACAAACGAAGAATAGTTTTTAAAACACAGCATATGTAATCCCTGATCCTAACGTATCAATGATTTTAAAAGGCAAGGAGCTCTTTTTTCATTCTTAGTGAATATGGGTAATAACTAAATAGCTCTCGAACCTACAAATATGAATCTGTTAAATTATAAACAGAGATAGTGGCCTAAAATTCAATAGGGTTATGTTCTTTCTTCAACATCTGTGATTCTTAATTTTCGGATAATTTTTAAAAGAGGTCAAGAAGTAACCAAGACCATTTTATCCCCTAACTGTAAATGAAGAAAAGATCACTGCATTGTGCAATAAAGCAGAGAGTGTTCTGTAGCAGGACAGGTGTGTACAACACACAGGTGGGGGTGACCGGTTTTGTCCAAGGAGTTTTGAGTTCTTACAGAGGAAATGGGCAGGAGACTGGTTATTGATGGACGGAGATGGAGTAAGAGTTAACTGGGTAAATAACGGGATCACAGCACCCCAGGCCGTGGGAAGAGCGGCGGCCCAAAGGCAGGGAAAGGTGAAGGAGGTAAGAGTGTTGCAACACAGAAGAAAGGCTCCTGTGACTGGAGCCCAGGGGAAGGCTGAGGGCAGCCGCGGAAAGGGCTCCATGATCAAGCTGGAAAGGATGAGCTTTGTCTCTGTGTGATCTTGAACACATCACGCATCATCTTTGTGCCCCAGTTTCCTCATCTGTAAAATGGGCATAACCAGGACCCATCTCACAGAGCAGTTTGTGAGGACTAAACGAATCAACATAGTGGTTAGTGCCCAGCCCACGATGAGCAACTGACATAGTCATGATGTTGGTGATGATCATTTACTCCGCAGCCCTGGGAATCCATCCGAGGTATTTACAGAGAGGAATGACATGCTCAGCCGTATTTTTCAAGAAGACAACTCCGGTAGCAGGAGGAGGTTGAACTGTAGTGGTGAAACATCATTGCAAACAAGCCACTTAGGAGGCTATAGCGAAACACAAAGAGGAGTTTATGAAAGCACACGCTGGATAGCTGAACTAAGGGCCTGGATCGTAGTAGCGCTCAGGACAGGATCTGAGAGTCGCGAGTGCACACGTTGTAGCCGAAAACAAATCCAGCATCCAGAGAAATCATGAGGACGACGAGAAGGAAGGAAGATCAGAAAAACCTGAGGAGCAAGAGAAGAAAGGAAGACAGAGTGAAGGAGCCACTTAGGGAAACACCGCCTTTTAAGGAAGGGGAGAGGAGGGGCGCCTGGGTGGCTTAGTCAGTTGGGCATCCGACTTTCGCTTAGGTCATGATCTCGTGGTTCGTGGGTTCGAGCCCCGCGTCGGGCTCTGTGCTGACTGCCAGCTCAGAGCCTGGAGCCTGTTTCAGTCTGTGACTCCCTCTCTCTCTGACCCTCCCCTGCTCACGCTGTCTCTCTCTCTCCTAGAAATAAATAAAAATATTTAAAAAAAAAAAAAAAAAAAAAAAAAAAAAAAAAAAAAAAAAAAAAAAAAGAAGGAGAGAAGAAGGGAGAGGTTGAAGAGGTAGCCAAATGAGCAGCAGAGGAATCCAGAGTGTAATGATCTAGGATCCAAGAGTGTTTAAAAAGTAGGCAGTGGACGCAGTGTCAAACGCTACAGGGATGAAATCAGGTAAAGCAATGGAGAAACCTCCATCCCTCTGCATCTTTGTTGTAACACTTTAGAGTCTGAATCCACTCTATTTGAGACATTTTGAAACAAGCAGCTGGGGGGGTTAAGAAGTTGGGCAAGGCTAAGACCCAGCTTTGCAGCTGGAGGATGCACTAACAAAGGAAAGGGGGTGGGAGGGGAAGACAAACGCTACCAGTGGGTGCAAGACTGAGTACGTGGCCTTAGGAGTTGTTGGAAAACCGTACGATGTAAAGCGTCTAGCAAGGAAATAAAATTCAAGGGAAAAAGGAAGAAGAAAACACTGATAAATCCTTCATCATTCATCTGCAACAAAGTAGAAGTCTCTCCAGAGACCTCAGCCATGTGGCTTCTGATTCAACCACGGGTACATTCCATTCTTGGTGGCACTCGAAGGCTATGCTTGGAAAATCCATTTGCTTGTTCAATAAGTATTTTAAAAATCTGTTGATATATATATTTATTGACCACCTACTATTTGTCAGGCTGTGTACCTGGAAGTTAGGCTGGTAGACATGACAGATAAAATGAGTCCTTCCGTCATGGAGTCCATGGTCTAGCGAGGAAGATGGACATTCATCCAAAACTTGCACCAATATGTGCCTAAGATCCACAGGAAGCACCACGAGAGAGTAGCGAGGGGATCTATGAGCATATCTGGCAAGGAGACCCCCTGCATTGAGGGGCAAAAGCCGGGAAAAACCAAGTCCGACCTGAACACACTTCCCACAGACAGAGACTCTGGACTTATGCCCTTTGATTCTCCCTCCAAATCTAAATCGCTGGCTGGGGTGCGAAGGTTCCCAACCCCCTCTCTTCTTCCTCAGCTTAATCATAGGCCGTGGTGCAGTCCCTGCCACGTATATCACTGGGGACCTCCTTCCACTCTCCCTACCCCCATCTCTCAGCTAGTTTTTTTCTTTTACGTACCATGTACAAGATTCCGTTGGATCCTCTACCTTCTACATAGGTCCCCAAATAAGGCAAGAGTGTCCACATTTTATTGGCTTTTTAAGACCTATTTCTATCTGTTCAAACTTATGCTAAAATTATCTCTGGGGGGGGTGTGGGGGGGAAGGAGATTGGCCTTTTTTCATACAATCTGCTAAACACTATTCTTGTCAGCAAAGCCAAGTTGTAAATTGCCACAAAGGTGATGAATTAATTAGAAATCATTAACGTTCAAAACAAAGTAGCTCTCATCCTCACCTCGGATTTCAGAGGAGCGTGTTGAGGTGATAGACCATTCCACTTACATAAAATTGCAACCCCAGATTTGAGGCAGCGCAGTTTTAATCCAGAAGGACCTAACCAAGAAATGGCAAATAATGGCGCCATCCCTCCACTCCTTGCCCAAAATAAATGTCGTTGATTCATTGCCACAGTCCCTCTCATGAGCACAGACGCACCTCAGAAACGTTCTCACACCACACCCGTTAGTCCCTAGAACAAACTTCCTTATCGCTGCGGGAGCATCTGGTCCTCTGCTGGTCTAGCCACCACGGCCATCTTCTTCACTGTAGAATTGGAGACCTAGCCATTGGGAGGAAACAGCCAGCTCCTCGCAGGGGCAGGGGTTGCGGGGGCGGGGGGTGCCTTGCAAATACAATTTATGTCCGTTACAACCAACATCCCAGAGAGCCAGACTGTCCTCAGCAGTGCGTGTACAGGCATCTCTCGTGTATATGCATGCTGAGAGAACACATGGAAAAGAGCAACATGCCAACCTTCTGGAGTTTCCCCAAGTCACCGAAGGCGCCAACCCCGCCCCCTCAAGGGAACCAATGGTGAACCTGGTCAGAAATATCAGGAAATGGTGAAAATAAACAAAGGACTGCTACTCTGCCTTGGCATCAGCTCTGAAACAATCTGAACCACCTTGGAGCCTACAGTAAAGTTAACAAGTTGGGTGAATGGACAGGAAGTGCACTAGTTTGAGTCCTGGATATAAAAGCTGGGATTCTGAGGATAGCAGATCATAAAATGCCCAAGAGTCCAAAAGTAAAAAGCTCAGAGCTGGAGGTATAAGGATAGTGGTCTTCAATGTTTTCTGTAAATATAACCCTTTACATTGAAGAAATATAATACAGACAACCACTAAAAAATAAAGGGTTTCTATCATACAGTAGAGAAGTTTCTCAATTTATTTTTTCATGTGATTTATGACAAATGCTTGATCTCACAAGAGCATGGTTCCAACAGTAAAATACGCCGTAAATTACAGGCACAGAAAGTTCCCTGACTCAACACTCAGAAGGGAGTTCACTTCCATGGAGTGAAGTACACAGTCCTTGGACCAGACAACTTGGGGTGATTTGTTTTAATCTTATAAAAATAATCACATCTTCAGTTTCATTTTTACATCTGCCTACCATTAACTGAGGGAACCTTAATAAGTTCTAAGAGTCGTCCATCAACTGCTCTTTTTTTTAAATTTTTTAAAATGTTTATTTATTATTGAGAGACAGAGACAGACAGAGCATGAGAGAGGCAGAGAGGGGGAGACACAGAATCTGAAGCAGGCTCCAAGCTGTCAGCACAAAGCCCACAGCACACAGCCTGATGCGGGGCTCGAACTCACAAACCGCGAGATCATGACTTGAGCTGAAGTTGGACGCTTAACCAACTGAGCCACCCAGGCGCCCCTCAGCTGCTCTTGATGATGATTTATTCCAACGATAAAAGATTTAGATGCTGCAAAGTGACCATTTGAAATACAAACAATATATTTTTCAAATATATACCAAGATTCACTAGCCCTAGATGTGTAATCTTCACAGTATCACATCAGAGGTTCTGAGAGAGCAACGTAAGAGAATGAACGTCAGAAAAAGATTAAAAAAGGAGACAGAAAGATGGGAGTATGTGTGAATGAAAAAAAAAAAGGAACTACGTAATATAAAGTATTTCATGGGACTTGAAAGTAACCTTTTCTTCCCTCCATGGGACCCTGCGGGGACGGTGAATTACGGTAAACTCTCCCACCACAGTGAGAGTGTCCCAGATCCCCCGGTTGCCCTTCCTACCCTGTGACCGTGAACTTCTCCATAAGTAGCACGGATGTCATTTATGTGCATATTTATTCTTCCCTTGACTAAACTCCAGCAGAAGGCAGTGGGAGACATTTGAAAGAGAAAAAAAAAAAAAAAAACAATGCTGCAATTTGTAAAATCAAAGCATTGAAATTTTCCAGAAATTAAATGCCAGAGCTATAATGCTTGGAGACTGCTATCTATGAAAACACTCGATTTCTCCTCAGAAAGTAATCTTGGTGTTAACAGG